ATATCCCTGGCTAGGTGATTGGAAGAGCACGATGGGCCTAAAATCGCATCTATACGTTAAAATATGCAGTTTGTTTGGCGTTGCTGGCTCACTTTGAAGAGGAACACAGTCGAATTTTGATAATTAATGAAAACACTGAAAGTGCCATTTAGATCTCGCATATAGGCAAACACCTACATGTACAGTGACTTTGGATTGCTGCTAAAAGGCAAAAAACTAATTTCATCCACTTTCACCTACTTCTGTAAACTTGTTTCTTTCATATTTTTTCCTGTGGTTGACCAAAACATTTGAAATTTTCCCAAATCATAATGTTTTTCTTACATCAGTTTTGCCGTGGCGCAAAAGCCAGACAAATAAGCTTTTTCCGAAAAAGCGTGACAAAATAAGCTTTCTTTGGAAAACTGAATGTAAGCCATTGGAACTTTCGTTGTCGTCTTTGTAAATTGGTTTTTCACAGAATCCACTGTTTCGACATTTCAGTGCAATATAAGGAACTACTTTATCACTCATTACCTGTAAATTTACCTGATTGTTCTGGAAACTAATATTTTGTTGGTTTTGGCTAATAAAGAATTTTCTGTTGTTCAAACATATCAAATTTGCCAAATTCAGGAGTTGATGCGGAGTTGGATAAGAACAGGGTTGTGTGAGGAAACAGCGATACTAGGTGCTGAAGATGGGGAGAAGTGCTTTTATACCCGGCTGACTACAATCCACAAAGACTGCATAACTCTTAAGGAGGTGGGGTGTCCCGAGACTGAACCTTGGACTAGGGGTGTTGCATCATAATAATACAATGGTTCCTTACGCAATTTTTAACAAAAAGCAATGAATCATTATGTGGCAGTCGTTTTAAAAACAATTTGCAATATTTTAGTTTCTTGGCAAATTGAATCCTTATATTAGATTTACGGAATTGAAAATCGTTTTAAAACGGACTAATTAGTTTGAAGTCTCCAAAACGGTGGCAAGCTGTGACCTCTTGAGGGTGCAATAGTGCGGGAAAAGCCGTCGAATGTTTAAATCTGAGTGAACACACATGCAAACCGACACAAACGGGATTTAAGCCCTCTGAGCTGTTTTATGTTTGATGGAATCGATGTACCCCTTGGGCAGCAGTATCAGCGATTAACCAATTCGCAAGTTGTCTCTATTCTGCTGATGATTGTTGTTGACAGAGGAGCATCCTGTCAGAAGCAGCAACAACTCCTG